ATCTCCGCTGTTCCTAGCGACTTTATTTAGAAGTGCGGCATTTGTTGCGCGCAACGCAGCATATACCAACGCGTGCTACAAAACGTTTTAGTCAAACATTTAAAAATCGTTAGATATCTGCGCTGACGTCACACATTCAGAGGGGTATTCCTATGCATTAGCCCCTCTGAATCAAAATGCTGCAATTTTGAAATTCAATCTTTCCGATTTAAGGCATTTCTCAATGTTGTGAGTGCCGAAACCGGTAATTGTGGGCCAGGGACCCCATTTTGGCTATCTCAACTCAAATCTAATGTTAAGGTGGGAGGGTCCCTTTGAAAAGCGGTGGTATGGGTATCATTTTTATACAAATTTGATTTAGTGCCGGTGTTTCTCTTGGAACAAATCCTTGGAACAAATACAAAACTGATTTCGCGCCATTTTTCATAATTTATGCGCGGCATTTTCGGTGCGAAGCTCAGCGTGACCGGGGGGTACGCTCCGGCTGTTTAGCATTACGAAAAGTGGTGACAGACGTTTGTGGAGGATTGTCGACGAACTCTTGTTCCGCGAGCAGCACTCACGCGCTAGCGGAAAATTCACCAATCAGCGCTCGGCAGTGCTCGACGCTGATTGGCCCGACGCTCGTGACGAAATTGCGGGGGACCGCAGTTATTCTCTATGGACCCGAATAGGCTTTTGGATTTCGGAGGGGTTTCTTTAAGATTATATGCTGTTTCGAGCTGTTTTCGAGTTGAAATATATTTCTTATGACTGTTAGCTATATAATGGCACCATAAAATCATGATTTTAATTAATATTACCGATGTAATATCGGCCGAAAAGACATGCTGTCTTGGCACGGACTGCCCTGCGGCTGATGTGGGGCCACTAGTGCCAGCGTATGGTAATAATGGGCTGAAGAAGGGTTATTGGAGACTCTTAGAGCCCCACCAGGATTCAGTATAGGGTCATCAGAGGCCGGGAACGTCCATCAGGGGTCTGAGTAGGCCTGCCATAGGGGCATACATGACACATCATGGAACATGGGTCAATCTAGATCCATTAGGGGTCGTTGAAGGGCCATCATTTTTCAGCGTGGGCCCGCAATTACCTCTGATGGGCATGCCGTGCCCCGATGGACTAACGTTGGCCTCCGATAAACCATCACCAGCCCCTGATAGGTCTACAAAGCCCCCTGCTGGGTCTAAATTGGTCACTGATATGCCCAAATGGGTCACTGAGAAACCCGTACAACATCCCCTGACTGCACCTGATGGACCAATGCCGTCCCCTCATGGGCCCACCACGGCTCTTGAATGGCCTCTTCAAGTCCCTGAAGCACCTTTATTGGCCTAAATGGACCCCTGATTGGCTTATGTGGTCCCTAATGGTCCCATATGGCCCCCATGAGCCCTCAATTCGTCCCGAGACAGCCTTACATTATATGCCACCGACCCCTGGTAGGCCTGCACTGGACCCACTGGGCCTATACCGACCCATAAAGGGCCCATGTCGAGCCCTCATGGGCCTCCGATGACCACACGCCGGCATGTGTGGCCCCATCAGCAGTGGTCCGTCTATCCCATGTACTTACGGTCTTTTTGGCCGATGTGACACCGATAGTATATAGAAATGTCATGATTAAATGTCGTTATTATATAGTCAAAGGTCACGGAAAGAATATCCAAGCTCAAAAATGGCCTCAAAACCAACAAAAACTGATACAAATCCCCTTCAAAAGTCATAAGTCAATGAAACGCCATAGGGGAGTAGCTGTAGTCCCCCACAATTTCGTCACGAGCATCGGGCCAATCAGCGTTGAGTATTTCCGAACGCCGATTGGTCGATTTCCGCTAGCTTGTAAATGCTGCTTGCGCATATAGTCTTGAACAAGTGAGGGTCGCGGCAACTAAATATTGCTTGTCACCACTTTTTCTTCGGGAGCGTTCTACCTGGTTTATATAGCCTTGAGCGTGACGGACGGACGACGGTAATTTTCCACGCATTCTTCCGAGGGCTGGGAGTTGTTTCGGATATTTTCGGTAAGTGCATTGCTTTTTTTGTTAGTAGAGAAGCACATAAAAGCGGTTGAAGGACGTAATACTTTGTTGTTGTCATTTTTATTAATTTTAACGATTTGTATCGCATCAAGCATGAGGAATTGACAAAAGTAAAACTAAATTTTACAGTTTGCACCATTAATGGTAATGCTTGCTTTTTTGCATTTATTTTCATATATCTCAGTTTTTTTGACGCTGCATATGAATTGTGTTGTGCTATGCTGTAGGAACGTGCCCGAGCCCCGACACGTGCCTTACTTATCTATCCTACGTAAATTTGACAGTGACTGTTGCTGTAGGCAGTTGGTTTGGCTCTAGCATTGCCACTGGCGACTGCCTAAGCACACTCATACAAACACCTCTGTGCAGGTCCGGTGGCGGTGCCTGCACTGTGATAGTTTGCACTTTGCAGCACCATTTTAAAGAGACAGATTGCAGGTTTGCTCCTAAAGCATGCCAGTGGTCACTGGACTGGCAGATTCAGGGGGATGGGGCATCTTGCGCAAATGCACGTCCCCACATGCAGGGCTGGAACTCAGCATTTTTTTAAATAATTGTGCCACATTTGGCAAGGAATCCAAACCCAGTGAGTTTTCAAATTTTGATAAATCAGTAGGGGTATAACCCCGCCATTCAGCATCCAAGATTTGAAGAATTCAGGGAGATTTGAAGATGCCTTTTCTGGATCAGCCTGTGCCAGTGGTAGTGGCACATGGCAAGGAAGTCACTGTGCCTGTTCTTCTTGTCAAGATAAGTTTCTTTGTTAAATGATACAGAGTACAGAATGCCTTCAATTAGGGGAACTGTTTAGTGTTTACTGTGGTAGTTAATGGCATCACACGTGTTCATGCTTATATAACAACAGCATTTAGGACAGGCTAGGCAGGACATGGAGTTCTTTTGTATTACAATCTCCCTGATTTTGTTTCAGCATTCAGGTCATTCAACTGAACAATGTCTGCTCGGGGAAAAGGAGGTGTGTATGTTACCTTATGCTAATTTAAGTCTGGCAAATCTAAGAAAGGATGAAGACAAAGCTCCTAAATCACTTTGCCTGTGGTTTGACTGCTGCAAATGTAGAGTTCAGAAAAAAATTGCCTGAAAAGTTGTGGCGGAAATGTTCTTAGGAGGCAATATAAAGGCACATGCATCAGTGGCTGCTGCTCTTTGTGTCCCTTCTTTCATTTATTTGCCAGACTGTAATGAACAATGAGTCTAGCCCAAATTGATGCCCCAACTGTCAATTGATGTCAGCACATGCATGAAAGGTGTGCCATCATAAAATGCACTGCAATAGCTAATGATTGATTCTTGACTGAGTGTTGTGTGATCCATGTATTCTTCCATCATCACTGCCTGCTTGCCAGGCTTGCCAACTCAGATTTTGTTACATGACCCACACAGGAAAGTCCAAGGACAAGCAGAAGTCTCGTTCATCGCGAGCGGGTCTCCAGTTCCCCGTGGGCCGCATTCACCGTCTGTTGCGCAAGGGTAACTATGCCGAGCGCGTCGGTGCCGGTGCCCCCGTGTACCTGGCTGCCGTTATGGAATACCTGGCCGCTGAGGTGCTCGAGCTGGCCGGCAACGCGGCTCGTGACAACAAGAAGGCCAGGTAAGGATATCATATGATTGTTGTGCATGTGTGTAACCCATCGTTTGCAGTGAACACGTCACATTGCAGTTATGATGTTTGTGATCATTGATAAGTTCTGTTTTGTATTCACTATTCAACATTCATTGCATTGAAATGTGCCAGTTGTTTAAGCTGTCTTTCAGTATGTTATGGTGTTGTTAGTGTCAAGTCTGTCCCTAAATACTTGCTCGTGTTTGGCAGGATCATCCCCCGGCACCTGCAGCTGGCCATCCGTAACGACGAGGAGCTGAACAAGCTCCTGTCGGGCGTGACGATCGCCGAGGGTGGTGTGTTGCCCAACATCCAGGCCGTGCTGCTGCCCAAGAAGACCGAGTCGGGCCCCAAGAGCAAGGGCCAGAGTCAGGAGTACTGATCGGGGAACGGGTTCCGTGCCATGGCGGGAGGGTGGGGAGGGATTCGCTCTGTGGGGTTTTACGGGGCTACTGTTCTTTTGTTAAATAAACGATGACTTTGTGAGATATTTGTGTGTCTGAAGAGCGACTGGCGCCGCTGTCGTCTTGTTGAGGAAGCTCTGGTGTGAAGGGCTTCGGCCAGATGTCTCTCCCGTCTGGTATAAAGAGGCCCGAGCCCCTGTCCGGAAAAAGTACCTATTTTCGTAAATGGCTCCTCACAAGCAAACAGCCAGCAGGCTGTATTTTTTATTTGGGCAGGGAATGTTTGAGGCATTGTGTTTATAAATATTTGAGAAGCTGTCATAGTATTGTTTCGATTAGTTGATTCATTTGTTCATGATATTTAACACTCAAGCTTTAATGTTTCGTTGAGTCGATCAGATGAGTTGACCCGTTTCCTGCCGGGGATCGAACATCCCCAAAAACTTGCATGAATTTGTAAGGAAAACATTTGAAATAGGTACCTGCTTTTAAGTGGCAAAAGAGATTTTGCTTTAATTTTCTTATGTTTCATGTAAAAGACGGTAAGCCTTTGTGGCACCCCGTGTCATGCACCTTTTCGGCGTGCGTGAAAATGTCATAGGTCATCCAAGGTCAGGTCATGCTAGTCGCTCAGTCCTCAACTCACTCTCAGAAGATGCTAGCCTAGCTACGACGGCCCGATTGTTTTGTAGCTTGCTGCTGCTGATAGATGAACAGGGTGAGTGAAACAGTTATCTGTGATTTTTATCTCTATGACCGGAACGAAAATCAGTTTTGCGACCACTTCATCATAAGGATAGCAAGCAATATTATGCCTGGAAGACTGGTCATTTAAGCACATTCAAATATCGTTTCAAGCATGTGCTGTATTGCATATGGTCATATAAGTGCTTTTGCATTGTTTAAAACTGAAATGTTCGCCTGTTTCAGGACTTGACGTCACCTACGCTTATAATGACTTTTTAACGAAAAGTACTTCGGAGATGCTCCGGGGCACAGCACATTTACAGAACATTCATAGAAACCGTGCGTGATAAGCGCCTGTCCGTGATATCCGCTCGGCCGCGTCTCGGCGGTGCGCGGGCGGAGGCGGTCCGTCGCCGGCGCCGGGTGCTATCGGTCGGCTCCCGTGCCGCGGCTGCCGCCGCCCGACGGAGCCGTCAGTAGCGGGCCTCCGTCGAGCGCGAGCGGCGGCGGGGCGGTGAGCGGAGAGACAGCAGTGGTGCGGAGAATACAGACTGAACGTCGCAGCGGCCGGGCAGCTCTGCGGTCCTGAAGGCGTGAGTGGAAAGCCAGTTGGGTGTTGGCTGGGACGAGAGTGTGGTAGTGGGTGGGGTTTGGGTTTTGGGCACTTGTTCAATATTCATACAGAATGTTTTTACTAACTGTACGTGTCGTGGGAGGGGCTGTTTTCGTGTTTGTTGGTCTTGAGTGTCTGTGTCCTGTGTGTCTTTATGTAAACGAGGCCGCCTTTATGTATTTGTAGGCGTGGGTGTGTCGACGTGTCGGTCTGGTCTGCCGGTAGGCATGTCGGTTTGCTCGCTAAGGTCTCTGCATTTGTCTGTCCATCTTTCCATCTTTCTACCGTATGCACTGGCGGATCCAGCTGTGCATTTTTTTGTGGAGTTGGCAGCTCGGGTCCGTCAGTTGCTGTGCGACAACAAAAAGGCTGTTCCGACACAAATCAACAATTTACCGTATCGGGGAATATAGCAAATGGGACACCTGAGGGTCTCGTCCCATACGCCACCTGGATTCGCCAGTGCCTTATGCCTGTGTATTATTAATGTGTGTCTGCTAGTCAGTATGCTTGTGTATAAATAGGGATGCACGTCTGTTTGTCCGCGTGTTTGCGTGCGCACGGTAAACAGCGGCGGTCGGCATGTGTGCGGTAAATAGGGAAGCCCTTCCTCGGCGGCGGGCTCACCGCCGGTCCCGTTTCCCGGCTCCGGTCAAGTCGCGTCCCTCGGAGTAGAAAGTGAACGCCGGCGGCGCCGTTTGATGGCCCGATGACCCCTCAATCGGTCGATAGTTCCTACCCACCGCAGCGCGCGACAAATGACCCCTGGCGCCACCGACACGGTCAACGGATGGCCGGCGCCGACAGTTCAATTCGACAGCGCATCCGACCAGCTGGGTCGCTGAGCGGCCAATGCTGGATGCGGGCTAGCGCGGGCGTTGCAACCTGGTTGACCAGTGCGGGATTGTGGAGCTCCCTGCTGTTCAGAGCACTGCTGTTTTTTCCCTCGCCTGCGATACGGTTCTCAAAAGAGCTTAAAGAATAGGGATATAAAAAGACAGGCCCGAGGCATTATGTAATCTTATCGATGGATGGCGTATCTCTTACTATCTGCACATGGTAACTGCAGGATCATTGTCCGTTCTGAGCTGATGGATTGGCCGCCGGCGGTAGGCTCCGTGCCATTTTTGTCCATCTCTCGGTCACTCTAGTCATTGAGCCTCGGCTGCCATGTAGCCTCTAGCACCTACATGTCACGGGATGATTCTGGTGGGACAGAGTTTGGACATGTATTGCTAGGTTAACGGCCTGCTATTCTGACACTTCGTAGTGACTTTTTAGGTTTTCTTTTTATTCTCTTGCTTTTACCCAAAAGTAATTTTTTATCAATACATCAAGTTATGAGGGCGCAGACCTCAGTTCGTGTTTCACGAAGGCGCTTATTATAAGCGCCGTCGTGTATTATAATTTGCCAACCATATGGTGATTTCCTGATCAAAGGAATTCCGGTCCCTTTTAAATCAGGCAATTAAATCGTCGGGCGCTCGCTATTGATCAACGTTCTCCCTTGCGATTCGATGAAAGAACAGGAATACTTGAACTTACTGTAAATTTTATTTTAATAAACCGTTCAAACATTGAAAGTCTCAAGCCTGTTGAAACACTTCAATGATATGGACAAAATGGTGAACTATGAATGCGACAAAATGTTTCCTATAAAGTGCGACTGCACCGCAGGGGGTTTTATGTTGCGGCCTGCGAATACATTTTTGAATGTGTGGAAGGGTCAAGGAAGTCGTCTTCAGGTGCCTCTCCATTGTACTCGTATCCACTACTACAATGCTTTCAATCTGGGCCGCCTTTTATGTTGCATAGCTGCCGCGGACCTCTGATCTCTGGACTGACCGAACCAGACGCCTGATTCGACCCACTGGGCCCAACATTGATTACCGGTCCTCCGAACCAAGCCCAGACATCCGGGTGGGTCTACCAACCCGAAGGCGAACACTGACCTCGTGGTCTACCGAACAAGAACATCGCCTTCTCAGAGCCCAGACCCAGCAAACCAAACTGTGACCCCTGCCCCCTGGACCTACCAGACCAACCTTGACCCTAGACTGACCTGACCCTGGGCGCCCCGCTGACCTGTTGACCGCTTCCGCTGCGATGCACTGTATTGAGCGTGCGTTGCTGGCGGGGGGGGGGGGGGGGGGCAGGTGCTGGCGGTGGCTCCCTCCCGACCTGCCGCTGTCCCGCTGCACAGCCGGCCGCGGGGGCCGTGCAGCCCTCCGATATATCGATTGCCGCGCCGCACCACCGCACTGTAGCCCCGCCACGTCTGGTGTTGTATTCCCAGCGGGAGGCGTGCAGTGCCGAGTCCTGGATGGGCGACCTGCACCGCGGGTTGGTGTCGAGAGGTGCAGGGGGCCGATGGAGCGGGAGTTGTTTGGTCAGGGACAGGGTCAGCCGGTACGCATGCTGATCGTGGGGTCCATAGTTTGGTCTGTGAATGTCTGGACATGAACTGTGGTGCCGCCCGGAGCCCATCTCATGCATGAACAATAAGAACATCCACTATGGAAGATCGACATTTTATTATCTCGATTTTGTTTACCCATGGTTGGACGCGCAATTTTGTATTCCAGTTAATCCGACTGTCATTTATGTGCATGTCGGCATACCTAATGAAATGATCAAATGCGCTACCAAGTAATGGACTTTGGAATTTGGATACTTATCAGAGAATAGATACCTACGATCGATGCAATGCATTACAGGAATTTATTTATGCATGTTCATGCCTCCTGTACACTTGCTGTTCCCACTCACAGAATGGCACTCGGGGTTGTGTTGAGAAATTGTAACGGGAATAGATCAATCTACGATTACCCGATGTGTAGGTAGGTTATTCAGCAGCGCTCGGTTACTTATGTAGGTAAACGACTATGTCCGTAACCGTAAGCTGTAGGCATTCGGAAAGAACCCGTTCCTTTTGGCGGCCCCGTGACAGGAATGTTATTTGTTTGCAAAAGTTCATCGCAAGAAACGATAGCAAGCGTTGTTATCTACATCGTACTCGGACTTAGGTATGCACTTGCCCTCAATCGGCACGCATGGTCCAACTCAACACCTATGCGCCAACTGAGATACCGTTCCGTATTAGTCACGCCTGTGGCCGTATCAAGTGAAATCAAATACTGCCGTGCAGCTACATTCCAAGAACTTCCCCAACGAGATATGCGGAACAGTTCACACTATAGGGCTGCTCCCACAAGCTAGCCATAAAACCTTTGACGCGCTGTCATTGGAGCCAGTAAATATAACACCGGGAGGCATCCTCCCAGAGACCAATGGGTGGTGACCGTAAATATTTAATCCGTCAGAGAAATTTTAATGACTTTCTGTATCCGCAGCCAAAACGATGCCCAAACCGACGGGATAAGCTGGCAGTTGAGAGCTGCCAATAGGTGCATGTCCAATTCCATTCTCTCCCGAGTTTCGGGACTATACGTAATACATTGTGGGTCTAAACAGGGTGTCCTCGACAATGCTTCTGACCATGCGTTATGCCCCCACCGTGCTCCCCTCGGTAATTGATGGGAGTATGCCTAATGCCTATACGTGCTCGGCTCGTCGATGAAGTCGAACTCTCGCACCCACCCACCATAGTGTCTCCACTGGGAGCTGCCCGGGCTAGCTGCCAGCCCCTGGGTCAACAGTGCACTACTCAGAACTGATAGCACAGTCAACACCTGCGGACAAACATTACATCTTCGCCGAGTGGCCAACATGTCCGCACACAGGACCAGAGTGACTGGGTCCATCGCGACCACTCGGTCCATCATATTGAGGAGTAGCGAGTCGGAAAAGGCTTAGATGAGCTCAGCAGGAGTTGCTAAATCAAGTGAAATACAACATGACATTCCTAGACCGACGTCCTGATCTGACCGGACTTTAACCCGCGCCCCACTGGGGTCTGTGTATAACACGCCCTACTGGGGGGGGGGGGCTATTCATAGCCCCCCCCCCCTCCTAACTCCGAAACTACTGGGCCGATCGTCAAAATTCAAACGGCTTCTGATAGCCCCGGAAAAACTGTCGAACGAAACCTAATTTCATTGACCTCGAGGTCACCGATGACATCACAGGTCAGGTCAAAGTAAAAATTATTAGCATTTTGGCTTGTGCACATTTTGGGCTCTGGGCGCCGTCTTACAAGTCAGAGCAGGCTCATTTTTGGCTTACACACTCCTGAACAGATGCTCTAGATACATTGAGGGTACCAAACTTGTACTTTGATTTTCAGGTCAGGGTCAGGTCATCACAGGTCACGAAAATATTATACCATGCGTCGGTCACGTGACACATGTTTTATGGTCCATTTAGGCCATAGATTTCGAATTTGATGTCGTCTGTGTCATTCGAGGTCATTTTGAGTCGAATTCAGCTTAGGTCAGGTCACTTTCAGGTCAAAAAGGTCAAATTTTGAAATTAAAATTTTTCAACAAAAAAGGTGTCTATTGGATGCAGTTTGAGCTCAGGAACACGATGGTGCCATTTATATTGGTGTACGATGTCAAATACGTACTGAAAATTGATTTGAAAAATTAATAATTGTGAATTTTTTGCAATAATGCGTATAACTTGGCCATTTTTGAAGATATTTAGCTAAAACTTGCTAGAGTTAGTCATCATCATGCGTTGTGTCACGTATATTCCGGTTTTTTTCGAAAAGTCAACTTTTTGAAAAAAAAATATAAAAATATAAATTTTGAATATTATTATATAACATTTTCGAAATTTTCAAAATTTTGAAAATTCGAGATAGCAGTTTGATAGCGCAGTCAATTTTGAGTCCTTTCATGCAAAGAAATTGGATCTAGCTTAAAAACTGAGCTCTTGGGAGCGATTGCCGTGGTTCAATGTTTTGCGTCGAAATCGGACGAACATGACGTCACTCTGACGTCATTTCCGGCCGACCTATGGTAGCTACGAAGTTTAAATTTTGACACAAGGTGTCAAATTGATGCAGCCGTAGGTACTGAAAGTTTGGCGTCGATCCGTCAAGCGGTTTGGAAGTTATTGCAGAAAAACGGGAGGGGGGGGGGCTATAAATAGCCAGTGGGGCGCGGGTTAAATCGGCCTTAAGCCAAGATCATTCGACGGACTGGACAAAACAAATGCGACATACCTACTTCTATGTAATTTGTTGCGTTCTTCTTGAGATAAGGTACTCTCTACCCATCTATTTTTTAAATCATCACGGCCCGCACCCTCTTTTTCCTCGAAGCCCATCTCAGATATAGGCATCAGTGATGTACCCACTTACATTCACGGACGACTTATCAGCACTCTGCTGGTACAGATCGTATGTGACAGTGGCGCCGATGGCCGTCCCATTGCGCCGCTGCACCCGTCACCGTCGTGGATCAGCCGCCAGCGCCAGCTATCGGAGGCGGAGCCGGACATGACGTATCCCGGTCCTGACCTCTGGATGGACATTGGAGCGTAGTCTCGAACAGTTCTGACCGGTCTTTGATGTGGCTATTGCGGATCAGCATTCATGGTCCTGACCTTATGAATGGCTATTGAAGAATGAAGCACGCCAGTCGCCATTCCTGAGTCCTGACCACTGCGCTCTGGTGGCATTGAAACTTATCGGACTTCTAGACCTGACCCCTGACTTCCGCCGAGGAGGAGAGAGGAAGGAAATGTGAAAATGTCCCACTATTCCGGTACGCTCATCCTGCCGTCCAGTGTATCCAGTATCCATCGACCCGGCGGTTCAACAATAAATGATTATCTGTGATGTCAAATCCGCAGTGACCCGACCATCGAGCCTCCTGGGGTCATTCAACGCTCAGTGATCTGAGCTCGCGCGGTACTTTTAGGCTCGATAGATTCCCATCGCCCAGTCGTCTTTAGCTTAGATTTTCGTTCACCGTCATAGGCGGCGAAACGGGACGGGCACCGGGACACCGTGCCCCCCTTTGATTTTGACATTTTAACATTAGCCCTACATGGGCTTTGCATGGAAAGAATGGTTCCAAAAGTCGGCAGTGCCCCCCCTTACAATTGAAGGTGTTCCGCCGCTTCTGTTCACCGTTCAGTTTGCTGTAGTGGCCACTGCTCAGAGGTCATTGAGACGTGGGCGGTGAGCCATTTTTTTAGCCATCATTCGGTTATTGATAGGGATTTAGTTGGTCATTGGTTAACCCGCGCGGGGCTGGGGTCTCCAGCCGAACGCGCGGGGCTGGGGGGGGGTAAATTTTACCCCCCCTGTTATCTCCCGAACTAATGGTCCGATTTGGAAAATTCAAACGCCAATCGAAAGCTCTCATCACGAACTACTAAAAAAATGTACTTAATTTAAAGTTTGAGGTCAAGGTCAAGGTCAGGTCAAGGGTACAAATTGCAAGTTTCTACAGTATCGGCCTGGCACCGTAGTTGCCGAAGAATGGAGTCATGGACTGAGACTGATCGCCCAAAAGGTGTTCTTAGGCTACCAAGACAATATTCGTTGCATACAATATCATTCAGAGGTCAAGGTCAAGGTCAGGTCAGGTCAGGTCAGGTCACCAAAAAACAAAATATAGAAAAGGGCATGTGCGACACATGTTTTATGGGTCATTTTACTCATAGAATTCAATAGGCACACTCAATAAGTGATATGGACCACCTCTGGATGAATTTCAGGTCGAGGTCAGGTCAAGGTCAGGTCAAGTGAGGTCAAATTTTGAAGTTGGTTGTTAAGGCCTAAAAAGGTGTCTATCTGATGCAGTTTTTCACGGTGAATCGAATGGTGCTATTTTTGTTTCCGTACGAGGTCTAGAACTTCCAAAAAAGTCATTTTTCAAAAATTTTGTGTGTCGTGACGTCATAAAATTTTGAATAACTCCCACATTTTTGAACCGATTCTTCTAAAATTTGGTATGTAGGTGCACATTGACCACTTCTCTGACATATATTCCGGTTTTTTTCGATAGACTCAAAATTTTGGATTTTATAATGATTTTCCCAAAAAAGTCAGTTTTTTGAAAAAATTTAGGCCAAAATCCAAAATTTTCAAAAAACCGAGATAGCCATTTGATAGACAAAGTAAAATTACGTATAACCTTTTTTGTTACGTCTTGATTCCTTTAAAAATGAAGATGTTAGCGGCGTTTGAACTTTTGCCGTTTTTGAGGCGAAAATGGCGAACATGACGTCACTAAAACGTCAATTTCTCAAAAAATTTCCGACGGATTTCGCTCAAATTTTCAGGGAACGTGTCAAATTGATGTAAGAAAAGGTACTGAAAGTTTGGCGGCGCTGCGCGCCGCCGTTTTTGAGATATCGCAAAAATTCGCGAGGGGGGGTAAAATTTACCCCCCCCAGCCCCGCGCGGGTTAAGCGAACAAGCCATACCGACTGGCAATTTATCATTGATTCGCCGTTCGCTTGTGGTCAGTGACAGGTCAATGGTCCGATGCCGGCCAGCAATCAGCAGAGTGAGCTTGGACCGCGGCTGGTCTCCGAGCGGAAACCAATACGTCTGATCCCAGCTGTCTGCTCTGCCTGTTCGGTCACTGGCGGCCGGAAATGTGATGAAATACGCGGGACCACTATGGTTCGAGCTGTGATAACGATTGATGGAGCCGCGAGACAGATTGATGATGCTGTGAGATCGATAGCTCATAGCCTGCCCGGACTTGGCGGCCTTACCTCGCGCCAGGCGCCTCGCCCCAACGTGCCTCCGTTCAATTACGGGCCGCCGGGCCGGCGCCCGCTATTGCCTATAATCGCGTTATTTGGAGCAGAACGGCCCCCACTGGATGGTCATGGAGCCGGCCCATTGACCGCCCCGCACGTGACCGTGGCGACCCTCCGATGAGACGTAATTCATGGCCACTTCTGTAGCAGCCAGCAGGTGACTGCTGAGTGCTGACTGCTGACCGACTGAAACTGCCAGCATTGGAAGCTGACATAAGCTTTTTATCGCATTAGGAGCGATATATTTGTCGACAGGTTTTGTGCATACCACTGGGCAGCGGGGTTTGGTGTCCCAAGGTTGCGAACAATGTTTGGCTATGGATGAATTTCGCAACCAAATATGGTAGCTAAAATCTTTCATATGGCAGCTGATGGTAGGGAGCCGAAAGCTGCGCATCTGTTTCATGTTGTGACTTTTGTTTACATGTGCACTTGCATGCTGTGAGCGGCGAGATCGTGGTGCGTGCAGGTGGCGTGTGTTTCGTGTTGTGGATGTTGTGGCTGTGGGTTCTATTTTGATTTTGGATAGAAACTTGCGCGAAGTGTTGCTGCTTTCAATATGAGGGAGAATTGTTGGACAGGTAGGAATATTGACGTACCTATGTGTTTTGCACTTCAATCATTGTATGCAAGTTACCGCGGCGCAACATATTGTTATTGTCATTTGTCATTTTCATTGTCTAACAATTATATGTCAGTGTCGTGGGATATACCCATGTTGTGTCAGTACTCCCTGTTTTTATATTCCATTATCTAGTCCTGATATGATTTCTGAATCCCCTTGCCCTCGTAGGTATATAGGCCCTGTACTTTTGAACAAAACAGTGAAAGGTAATACTATTTCAAGAGGTTGATCTGCCTTGCCTTTACTTTACATCTTTTCAACCAGCAAAGTTTAAAGACCAGCATATTATTTGTATTTTTTACATTGTCTGCTTTTGGTCACTACATTGCTTAATTAATGATTCTGCGCTTGCAGGTATGCCTGGGTGACTTACGAGCCAGTGGACTTAATACTGAATAGTGCCCACTGTGATGGCTCCACAGCTGACTTTAGAGCCAGCTCGGCTCCTGCAACTGGTTGTCTCCATCAACACCCATGACCCCATCAAGATCCAGTGCAAAGTCAACCAGTTTGTAAGTACCTTCTACTACATGTTTTGCATGCCACTATATAATGTGAAGGTTGTGTTATGCCTGTATGAATGTGTGCTTCTTGATTACATTAACATAGGTACCTCCTGTTTGGAGCTATATGTATTTTTTATTCAAGAAGCATTAGGTTTCAATTATTTATGTAGGTCACTGAGCTTGTTGCCTATTGTGCATATGACTTGCATAGGTACCTATTTGCTGGATCATAAGTTCCATAATTTAGTATGGAGTTGACATGATTCATCAGGACTTTTAGTAACCATCTGCATTTTCAAGCAATTGCTAATGCCAAAAATCAATACTGCTGCAAAGGTCTTTCTGGCATCTAGAATGTGGCTTAATTTGGTCCAAATTGGTTCCTAAAAGCAAGCATGGTTTCATGTCTCCCTGCAATCGCCAGTGCAGACTGGATATGAAATACTCGTCCTGTTTCTATGTGTATTTTATTACACATGGTATCAGTGTATCCCCCTCCACCGCAAAAGTCATTCACTGCTGGCTGCTGCGTGCCTCTGAGGTCGGCGACGCCTCTCTAGTAGGTAAATCTGGCACATGGAGTGCTGACGACAGTAAATATTGTAAATGATTGACCGGACCGTCGGTCGGCAGATTGTCATTATATCGTATGTGCGTGTTTTTTTTTTGCGTAAAAATTTCCAGTAACGTTGATGTTACTATTTATAGGTTTGACCAAGTTTTGTAAACCTCACGTGGATTCAGTGAACGTGATAAAACAACACCGGTGTGATGGAGAAAAGCCAGCGGGATGCCATCCGTCAGCACCCAGCTGTTGTTCGAGTTCACACCTCCGTCGTGTTTTTATTTCGCTCCGCTGATGGCTGACACCCCTGCTGTTCTCGTCGAGCTGTCATCACGTCAGACAGCCCCCGTTTTCTTTGCGCGCTTTCCGGTGTGTTCTGTCGTCTATCAACCGTCATTCCTCGGCCTCGGTGTGACAGGATTCTGCCTCTGTTTGCTGCAAAACTTCACCACTCCGGCGTAGCCCTGTCCTAACTGGGGACAGGGGTGACGTGTCCCTGTCATAACACTGGCCGCTGTGGCTGCTCGCTGTCCACGTTTTTGCGTAGGTGGCCGAGTAGCGAGTCGTCACCGGCTGTTCGCTGCTGCTGAGATGCCCCCGTGGTGCCACCAACCCTTGTTGCCGTCGCTGTTGTCTGTAGTTGCTATTGGCGATAGTGGTATAGGAATCCATCGTCACTTTGGACGTCATTTTGAATGCCTAATGGTAGCCGATAGCCTGTGTGACTACCCATCTTGCTCGCCGATGTATGCTGTAAGTTCCAGCGTGTGGCTGTGAATTCCGTTAGCGTTTACATTCAGCTCCAGCACGGTTGTGAGCTCCGGCATGACTGTGAGTTCCATTAGCCCGGTCCCGACCTGCTTTGAGTTGGTGCTGGCGTATACGAGTATAAGTGAGTTGTTGGACTTCTGAGCAGGGCTGCGGAGTCGGAGTCGGAGTCGGAGTCGGTCGGAGTCGACAGTTGTGACCGGAGTCGGAGTCGGAGTCGGAGTTGATTTTAGAAACCCGAGCCGGAGTCGGAGTCGGAGTCACCGAAAATCTGTCGACTCCGCAGCCCTGCTAGGTCTGCGGAGTCGGAGTCGGGAGTTGGAGTCGGCCGGAGTCGACGATTCTGCCCGGAGTCGGAGTCGGAGTCGGAGCTGGTTTTTGAAAGCCGGAGTCGGAGTCGGAGTCGGAGTCGCCGAAAATCCATCGACTCCGCAGCCCTGCTTCTGAGGACCAGACTTAGGCGCTGTGCAGTGTAGTGTGGCACGTATTTGTCATTTACGGCTGCCTGCGACAGACAATGTATGGAATCTTGTTGTCTCCTTGCTGAATTTCGTCTGTTTAGACGGTGGCATAAACCCAACGGTTAGACGACATTCCTTCTTCCTTGTTAGAATTGCGAATGAGCGAGAAAAAACAAGTTTCTTTTTGTCTTCATCGTCGACAAGATTATGCTGATTCTGTGAAGTAGCATTCCGTCGCATACATTTCCGCGCATCGCAAGATTCAGTCTCCAGATGACGCTCTCAAAGTTTTCATAACTCATAAGTAGAAACAGCATGCCGCTCGAGTATTTCTGGTCTGGTTCACACTATACGGTATGCAGAGTGTCGCCTGGTTTGAATCTCACTGGTGACAGCGGCGCTACAATCCACGCCAGCTCGGCGTGCTCGCTCGCTGCCGAGCCCCGCTGTCTCGGTCTGGCTTCCGCCGGCGCGGCGGTGGCGCGGTGCGGCGGCTCGGAGCCGGCCGGTATCTCCGGCCCGGAGGGAGCACAGGTGACGGTATCGAGGCGCCGCCGCCCCGCCTACACTGGCAGATACTGGCTATCGGCCTTCTGGGCCGCGTGGGCACTTCTTGCCGCACATCTGATCATCTTGTCATATAGTCGGTCGAGCTTTGATGAGCGCCGCTGGGTGGGCTGTGTGATACCAGCCGGCTGAGGTCAGCAGTCCAAGAGAGACGGGTCAGGGGGAGACATTAGGACACGAAGAGGAATACATGGGCTGGAAGGAAGGTGCATTGATAGGTTGTCGTAGGATATGCAGGTGGCCAGATGGAGAGGCTTATGGCTCAGGCGAAACGCCGACTTTCAGCAGGCTGGGAGAAGCTGTGAGCAGGCTGGGCGAGAATCTTCTGAAAAAATGTTAACTCATGAGCTGGTCCTGATTTGCCAAAATGACAGTCATGCTCGGTGACTCGGACACAAATCAGACAGCATTTGGAGCAAAGCGCCATCTCCACTGGCGTTCAAAGTCCGTCCATCCGAATTTGATGAACCGTGATGACGACGGTCACGGTCTTTAATAAGGAGTAATTCACCAAGTTTACAGCTCTCTCTGGACTTGTGGAGTGCTGCTGGACGGGTCATCGTCTACTGATTTATGTCAGGCCGATGACTGAGCGGAGAACTCTGCGTCGAAAACCGCGAGAGTGATAGAAGCGTATTGCGCCACGTGGCTAGTACGTTTTCTCTGTGCTGTCCGTTCCGTGCCAGCAGTGCGCTGTTTTCCTTACGAGCTCGGTGTCTCCGTTCCAACAATGTGGTGTATCCACACGAACGGTACTGTGTATCCCTGCCAGCGATTATTTGTCTCCGTATTTCAAGTTCTGTCTCCCTGCCACCTACCAAAAGCGCGTTGTCTCCCTGTCGCGGACACTTGACGCCAGGAGTCGTGACCTGCTCCCCTAAGGGTGAGCTGCGCGCATCGATGATGTGCAATAACAACGACTCTAGGGGCGGGAGCCAGTCACGCCCAAATGAGATCAATTATCGTTAGTGGCGCTTCCACCGTCCGCCGTCCTTCGTCGGCCGGACCATAGGTAATATGTCGGCCCGTCCGTACGGACGCAGTTCCAGGCGCAGGGCAGACCGCCCGACGGTGGATGAATTGTGCGTATGTGTGTGAAAGTGCTCACACATATGTATGGGTATGAGGCGCTCAGTGAGTTGCGGCGGCGCCTGTTACTTCGTCGCCAGTGCAGCATCTTTTGAGGTGTGGTCTAGACGGAGATTCTTGACTCCGGCATCACACGGAGAACTTCGGAATTGGTATTGCAGCTAGGTCACAGGCCAGATTGCAAGTCAGTTGTTACTGCAGAGGGTGGGTCCCTGTGACATGACCCGTCGAAGGTCAGGCATCTTTTCACACTGTGCCATATCTAAGTGAATGCTCGCAAAAATGGGATCGCAGATCGGTCATAGATTAAAAATCTCTGCCATTTTCTGTTCTGGCTTGAGTTCTGAGCTGTCTTGTATTGTCGTAACTCGTGACCTCTGACCCTAGTTGTGTTGTATGTGACCTGACCAGCATGACATGATTTGACTCGACTTGTGATCCTTCCTCTGACCTGTTCCCAAGTCTCTCCTCTAACGTAACATGTGATATGACTAGTGCCATGACATGTGCCCTGACCAATGACCTGACCTGCTCCCTCTCCCGTCCGCCAGCTGCGGGAGGAGACGGGCGCGTCGGCGGTGTTTTGCGTCATCTACTGCCGGGACCGGGAGGACCTGTTCTGCCAGGTGGTCAACCAGACGACGCTGCCGCTGGAGGAGCGATTGCCGGTCAGTGACGTCACTCACACACAGACACAGACAAACAGACGTCACGCCCACTGCATACTGTCTCGCCAGCCCCTAATTGACCCTCACCGCCCGGCCCGCCCATTACTGCACTACGCTCCCCGGTATCGCCCTTCACCTCACCACCCCTCGCCACGCCTCACCGTCCCTAACCATCCCTCCTGTCCCTCACAGCACGGCTGTCTCCTCCCCGCCCGTCCCTCACGTCCGTAACCGCCAATCACAGCACAGGCCCTTACCGCACCGCCCCACACCGCCCGCGTTCAGCCCTCTGGGAATCTGGCCCGTCGAAACTCTGGCTAACTTGCAGATCGTTTCGAGTAGTTTAGCGAGCTCCGGCACCAGAAGTGTAGACCCTGGCGTGCTCCCGCGCTCTCATATATGAGAGGTCGTCTCGAGGGGCATGGGCGGGCTCAAATTTGCAAACTCTCGCGGCGAGCTCTCGTGGAAGGGGAGGGGCTGGGTAGCGCCCTGGATAACTGCAGGTGATGGGATATCTTAAGTGCCGACGTGCCGTGTTTAATTTTTTGTGTGCTCAAATTCTGAAGTGTCTGAGTGCCATAGTGTGCTTCTAAAAATGTCACGATATTATGCTATACCTGTGTTTGAGTGAATCCTGTCTTATCAATTTTCAACTGCAGGGGAATCCGGACACGCTGTTAGGTCTGATAAATCCTATAGTCAACTCGGCGACACTATCACTCCTCTATGTGGGGGATCCCGGGCGAGGTGCGGTCGTTGGCCGCCCGTTTTCGGATGCCGGCAGCCGGCGCGAATCCGTCCCATGTTTACCCGTTCGATGAGACTCGGACGTGGGCCGAATGTGTGCCGCTCGTTCCCCGACACTCCCGGCCGTGAGGATCGGCGGCTCTGCTGCATGCATTGGCTGCGAGTCTCGGAAGAACAGCCTGCGAGTAGTGTCTGTGCGTTGCATCCCTGTAGACTGGTCCCGATAGGTTGCGAAGCCGACATATGCGAGGCCGGAGGCGAAAAGTTTACATGCACGCTAGCTGGCGCAAATTGTTGGTATAGTTCGTCATTCGTGGTGACTTTCCATAAATTCAAACAGACGAAACATAAAGCTATGATACAAAGTCCTGTAAACAAAATGGTATCACAGAAAGGTAAAGAAATAAAATATAAACTCATTCAGGTTAGGTTACGCTGTACGAGCTAAACAAAACTAACTGTGCTAAACACAACTGTAGCAGCCGGAGTTATACCTACGTATAGTGTATACCCTCCACTGAATGTCCACCGACGTATGATTGCTTAAAATGATTTAGTGTAACATGAAAATGGTCTTGGAGTTTTTGTCACTAGCTCCACCGCGCCTAATGCTGCGATAGCAAGGCTTATTATTTATGTACCTATCCGACTGAGTTCTAATTTAGGAAGAAGCGCATCAAAGGCTAAAGGCCGTGCCAGGAAAACGAATACCACGGGGACACGGTATGACAGCTGTGGCGTTATCAGCGTTACACGCTCAACCCAATATAGTTGAGCCCAGAGCCCGGGGCGGCCCGACCCTAGATCCAGTCTCGTCACGGCAATGTCAGCTCCGATAACTGGACACATTTGCGGCCTAGCAACGGTGACGCACACAACAGATCGGCCCGTCAACGAATGGGTAATGGGCTGGGTGTAGCGGGGTATGCGTCTCCAGGCAACGAGGAGACCACGCTTGGAACGTTATCAGTCGCTGCCCGAAAGCCTGAAAAGGCAACAAGTTGAGATTTATAGAGGAGTCGATTTTCGCTAGTATGTCTTGAAGTAAATCGATGTGGCGACTACAAGTCTATTTGTATACGATCATTATACACCTTTTTGCACTCAAAATAGGCATCTTTTCATTCAATTTCGGCGAATTGCATTCAATTTTAGCGATCTCTCATTTGCTTCGAATAGGGGCATTTTGTTTCGTCATATGGGCTCTACTTCGACATCGGGCACACCACATCGATAACAGTCATAATTTCGGCAAGGGGCATTCAATTTCGACAAGGCCTTACGTATTTAGACGATAGACATGGATTTAAACACGAGACATTCAATTTCGTCATTTTACAATTAAAATCGACATCACTCATTTGATTTAGACATTGCTTATTTAAAAATCGTTAATTAGGCAGCTTATGAAAAATAAAGAAAAAAGACCTGCTGGATGCTGGTCGTCCCAGTCACTCCTAATCATGCTGTTCAGAACCTTATGTAAATAAATTTTGCCTACAGCACGGGTGGTAAATTCACTCTCACTCCATCTGCATCCTTATCCATCTGAATCCTTATCATGCTTCGTTGTTCCGTGCTGATGGTCACCCATTGCACGCATGCAGGATCGCTCCGACAAAACGCCCGTCCCTATACGTCTTGAGCGGCTGTAAGCGGTGGCGTGTTTAATTGCAGCGGGCCCGTCGAATGTCGAACGGGTCCCTGAATGCTTCTATGATTCTACACCGGCCCTCGGCGCACACCGACCTGTTCTGACGACGTGGCATGACTTGAATGCCGCCGCCCTTCATCAGACTCCGCATCGTTTGTTTGTTTGTTTTGTTGGGTTAGGCGGTAGGCCCTTTCGGTCCAATGAGACAATTGCAGAGCCGGGAGGTAGGAAGTTGGGGGAGACATTGGTCTGGACAGGCACCCTAGAGAGTCACCGGGGCTGAGCCCGTCCGAATGGACAGGCCGATCAGCCCCCAAGTACTCTCTGCACCCGGCTACGGGAGTGCTACCCCGGGAGCAGCGGTGCTGCTCCAAGGGAGCAGCTCCCGCATGAGATAAAGTTGCCTGTCCAGCCTAGAGAAGGGGTTGCGGCGTGGAGGAGAAGGATTTGAATATCCTGCGGATGGAAACGACGGCACGGGGGAGACTCCGCATCAGAACATACGCGACGCCCGACCCAACGCCGGGTCGGGCCGTCCAGGGGCAGCCAATCCGCGGCCGACAACGAGCACCGCCGCGGGCGGCCCACGGCCCGGACCACGACAGCAGCGGGACGGCGGACGGCAACAGCTCAACAGCGGCCACCAGTCAGCCCCAAAGTCAGCGGCGGCAGAGCCCACTGGCTGAGGAGCGGGGGAGGGGCACTCTTACATATCCATGAAAATGCGTTATAGCTTTCACATGATAAGACAATTTTATCATAAATTTAAAGTACATCTATAAAAAAAAGCAAAACAACCGTTGTCTAAATTGATCGTAAAATGTCAAAGTCAAATGCAGTTCTTCATTTACAGCTGACCATTGTCGAAATTCTATGCCACTGTCGAAATTTGACGCAACAGATCGAATATGAACCGGTGATATTTAAAATTGATGAAATAATTCGAAATGTTGAGGTATGTCAAAATGGAGGTAGCTCTGTCGATATTGAATGCAAAGTGTCGAAATTGAATGACCAGATGCCGATTTGTAGTGCAAAAAGGTGTAGTTAGTGTCGTGTAGTGCGCACTGCTCATTCCTACTTCTGCCGCGACCAGACTGCGCCCGTGCGGTAGGTAACCTGTGCTTACCCGTTCCTACTGTGGCCTGCTCCCACCCTGTCGTGATCCGACCGCGCGCGCCCCTGCCGTGACCACACCGCTTCCCTACTGTGATCCATCCGTGACCTGACTGCGCCCGTGCCGTGACTTGTATCCGCCCCTGTCGTGATCTCACCGCGCCCCTGCCGTGACCTGACCGCGTCCCTGCTGTGATCCATCCGTGACCTGACCGCGCCTCTGCCGGCAGGCGGACCACCCTCTGCTGGGCGGCGCTCTGCGCTCCCCCAGTCCGCTGTTCCTGCCCGGAGTACGGCTCAGCGAACTGAGCTCGGCCGTGGCGGCGGCTGCCGGCGTCGACTCCGACTCTGACTCCGACTCCGGTGGAGGCCTTCTGGTCGTGTCGGCCAGCTGGGGCGACGCCACCCAGCCGGGCCTGCTGGTCTGTCTGGCCGGCCGGGCGGCGCCCTTCGCCATGGAGGACGCTCTCCTCGTGCGTCACGTGCTCGGGTGAGTTGATGACATAGGTAGAGGGCTGGGCTGGCTGAGCTTAACCGGCGCCGGGCCGGGGGGGGGGGGTGTTTGAACACTCCCCTTGCGGTTTTTCGCAGATATCTAAAAAACGGCGGCGCGGAACGCCGCCGTTTTTGGCACACCTGTTCGTGCATCTTTTCCGCACATGTTGTGAAAATTTCAGACCCAGGTCACCTTAGGTCAGGTCACCAGGTCACGCCAAGTGACCTCACCTCAGAAAAAATAAGAATGCTCGTCATAGCTACACCGACTGAACGATTGCCTTGAAACCTTCAGCGATTGGTTAGAGCAACACTATCTATAAAATGTATATCCCGGAATTTTGATATCGGTGACCTAAGGTCAGGTCAATTTTGCGGCCTCTCCATTATAAGTCAATGGGAGAAAATTGAAAAGCGTCTGTTTTGCACGAACGCTATTCTACAGACACGCTCAAACATCGTAGACACGCTCAAACATCGAGATGTAGGTAAAATAGACACACTGAACCAGAAAATGGCAACTGTGACCCCTCGTTATGTCCCCGAGGTCATCTCAGGTCACGAACAGAATCTAACAGTTTTTCGATGATAACTTCTGATAGAGGCGTGCTAGAGCGCTGAAAACGCCTTAGATGTGTTCGGCTCGACGTTGCGGATCGACTGATATGCAACATGACCTTTTCCAGTCAGGTCATGACCTTGACCTGAGGTCAAATTTTCAAGTTGACCTTTCAAGGTCAAATTAGAGTTCATTCGACGCGTCTCGACGAGAGGAACACGATGCTGGCAAAAGTAATGTCATAGCTCTTTTTACGGAGCGAGCGAAGCGAGCGTAGTCTTTCCTTAGATTAACGGAAATTTCTCCGGCCGGCCGTGGTCACGCTTTTGCGAGGCTTATATCTCAGCAACCACTTGACCGATTTACACGCGGTAATTTTTGTAGGGTAGCTTCATTCCTTCTACCAAGTATTGGACTATTCCCGATGCATGTGGGTGACCCCTTATGCACGTGCCACGTGCAAAACGAAGAGGTGTCACTTTTGCAATTGTTGCAATATCTCGGTAACTACTTGGCCGATTGCGCTGAAAGTTGGCATGTAGGTAGGCACCCACTAGGCAATACATATTCATGTGCCAGAGTTGGGGTGCTGCTGCACGTGCGCACGTGCAGGGGTCGACTCCAGATCTCGAGAACGGCTGGACCGATGGCGCTCAAATTTGGTACATGGTTAGGGACCGGTTAGTAGGGTGCCGTGCAAAAGTCAGTTGGGACCCATTTTGCACGTGCGCACGTGCAGGGTGCCGCTTCCAGATCTCGAGAACGGCTGGGCCGATTGTGCTCAAATTTGGCACATCGCTAAAGACCGGCTAGTAGGGTGCCGTGCACAAGTCAGCTGGAGGTACCCCCTCGAAATTTCGCACGTGCAAGGCTCACCCTCTCGCTCGCTCCGTTAGTCGCCACAAAAGGCGTTATACTGGTGAATAAAAAGTTATTGCCGAAAAAACGTTTTTCGTAAAAACGGCTATTTTTGGAGTTTTTGCCCTCTGGAGGCTAAACCGTTGACCTGAGGTCAAATCTGAGAACATTACTCAGAAAGGTCTGTAAAAGGGCTATCGAATGCGCTTTTTTGCGGCGCTGTAGCTCTATCGGTTCCCGAGATAGCCGTGGGCAGTTTCCAAAATGCTGAAATAGTCAACATTTTACCTTTGGTGACCTCTGGTGACCTGACCTTTGACCTGACCCAAAAAATGACCGAAGTGTTTTCGTCCTTATTTTTGACGCTCTTTCGATTGCCGCTTACCGCGTGTCGCTACGTGGCCCAGGAGCCGAGTTAGAAGGGGGGGGGGGTGTTCAAACACCCCCCCCCCCCGCGGCCCGGCGCGGAATCTCAGAGCACCGGCCCGGCGCGAGTTAATATACCCCGGGGGGTGAGCTGGGCTGGCACGGATAGAGAACTGGGTGATGGGAGAGGGGTGGTGCCGGATGGGCAGTCTGTACCTGATTGGCAGCAATGGCCGATGATGCATGTAATTATAACACACACAGCGATATGATTGCGCAAGTGACCATTCATATCACAAGTTCCGAAGATTATTTTATGCCAGATGATTTGTTTGGGTTTGTTGCTGTGCTCAGATTAATTTATCAAGTCCCGACACTGCTGGATTGTGAAGACTAACTTCACTCAAGTTTATCTCAAATGTAGTTAGATTGTTGGCTGCACATATTTCTAACTCAATAGCTTGTAATGCCTCTAATGAGGAACCCGGACTTCGTTCAGTGTATGTGAGCGGAGTGAATTGAAACAACTTTAAACTGAGAAAACTTCAAAATGAGGGAACCTTTAACTGAGAGAACTTCGCTGCTCTGCGTTGTCGGTAGAGCGAATTGGCAATGTACTCCGTAAGGAAAACTATAAGGACATTCCATTTTGCCATTTCCCCTGTGCATTTTTGCGACAATGTGGGCCTTTGATCTTTTATCTAATATCGACAGCAGAAGCCTTTGGCTGAAGCTTCAATTTCGAGTGATGCAGTCATCTGGGTTAAATCTCAGGCTTCACTGCACTGTGTTTCTAGTGAACAGAAATTCAACTACGTGCTTTTCCGAACTCGCTCTTTTCCAATAAACGATCTGTTAGATCTTCTGATAGTTGTGTAGTGCTGCAGCCTGTGGAGTTTGGATAAGCTCGCCTCGCGTCAGGCGGCAGGCGCTAGCTCAGTGATGTCTATTAAACCGAGAAAGGCTGGCTTGCGCACGGCGCAGTCACGATTGATGTCCTTTTCAGCGCTGCTGCAGGACTGTGGATGCGTGCTTATGCTCATTCCCGCTTTCGGCTATGTTTGTGCCATCGGAGTTTAACGTTTCTGAGTAAATTTTGCTTAAGTACTGAAACATTGTGGACTGTGGTACCTTTGTAATTCATTTAAACGCATTAGAAATATAGAGTTTTGAATTACCTTAGCCTTATGCAAATAAGCGAAGTGCTGAAACCACGGATCACTAACGTTCATAATATAACATAACCGTGCGTAGCGGCGGAACACCTAGGGGGGGGGGGGGGCACTACCGACTTTTGGTCCCATTCTTTCCATGCAACGCCCATAGGGCTAATGTTAAAATGCCAAAATCAAAGGGGGGCACGGTGCCCCGGTGCCCTCCCCGTTCCGCCGCCTATGAGTCCGTGCGCATTCAATCACAGCACTCACGCCACATCACTCACATCAACTCACATCAGTCCCATGCACCGCTCCTCATTCCCGTTATAACTGGCTCCCCTCGCGACATTGGAGGTCTGCGGGCCTGCGGCGCTGCGCAGTCGTGACAGTTGGTCCGTGTATCTCTGCCAACCGAAGGACCCATGCGGCGTCCTATCGCGATCCGCGGCCTTCTCTATCGCTGCGCACCGTCGCGGCGCTGCGGTCTGAGATTGCTCTAATGGCCTTGTAAAACTTCTGGTAAGTTTGCGTCAATATCGTAAATGCAACCTATTGTGGTTTGGGCCGTGGTAGCTTTCTGGCGTAAATATGGGCCATTCGGCTCAGATTAGTCAACGTCTTACAAGTTATAACGCTAATGAAATAAACTAATAAGTCCTGTTGCTGAAGAGGAGAATAGATCTTAGAGGCAGTATCTTCTGAGCCATAGCCTCTTGATGATGCATCACAAGCCTCCGTTCATTGGTTTTGATGGAATCTACTTATGGACGTTTTCTTAAATCGTTGACGACGTGCGATTACCCCCCCCCCCCCCGGCCCACCTTCAAAATATGGTGATAGAGGGGACTCAATATGAAGGACAAAACTTCATTTTAGCTTCTTTTATCGAAAGCTGTGTTTTATTTTAGCCTAAAGCGAGCCTTGCAGCCCTAGTTATGATTTTAATAATTTCTTCTTGGTGTAAAACTTTGCAAGACCTTGTGAAACACCCAGCTCTGCATCAAAATAGCATTTCAGTTTCCCAACCCTCTTGCAGCTCAGCCGATAACTTAAGTGAACTCGGCGTGGCCGACGGTCCGTCTCCAAGTTTGAATCATATTTCCGACCTCCCATCGGACCCTACACATATTTTCTGGTGGAGCCCGCCGCCGATCAATCCATCGAACTGTTTGTGGCCGGACGAGACTCGCGCTGTGCCTCGGAGCGGCGCCGCCGGCTGCGGGGCGTAGCGGTAAACACGCCGGTTCTCGGGTCGAATGTTTGGACCGCGGCGCCGCCGGCGGCCCGATGACGGCCGAGGATGACGGCAGCGCCGCGCGCCGGCGGCAGATGACGGCAGGTCTGTGCGCCGGCGGCGGATGACGGCAGGGCTGTGCGCCGGCGGCGGATGACGGTCGGTGGGCCGCAGGGGCAGGAGTCTTCGTCAGGCTTACTCATGATTTTTATTAAGGAGCCAATTGTCTCGCCTTTGGCAAGCATCGCTCCATTTTTTTTCTGATTCTGGTTTTCCGCTCACGTCCTGACTCGACGTGTCCATCCAGTCTGCAGACTAGCGAACCGACAGCTTCCCGGCTGAGCTGCCTCTGTGCAATGTACAGTTGAACAACAGTGACAGCTGTATCCAAGCTGAACATTCTGGCTATCACCAGACTCTAGGCTAAGTTTCAGTGGGACCATAACGGCGGACTGCTCTGGCGCGGCCGACACCCGCTGTCGATAGGGTGTGGGTGGTGACCTGGAACTGGGAGCCGGTCAGCCAGTGTACCCTGTCGCTGGGACCACCTGTTGATGGGTATCCTGCTTCCAGCTTAAATATTACGTTCTCTCCGGCATGTAATATGGGCATTCGCCAAGACATTCTGTTCGTATATGATAAAGCTCGGATATGTTATATCAATTGCCGTGACAGATCTGTATCGATCCGCGGCGTAAGTAATGACTGTATCTGTAATCTAGGTAGCGTCTTTTCATGGCAGGAATGGCGCCGGATGTAGTCCAGGGATCCAGCAGCTCTAATATCGCTGTTTGTTATTCCGACATGGCGAACGGCAGATC